TTTAGGCACGAGATGATGGTGGTTCAAACCAAGGTGGTAACAGTGGAAGAGATAGGCAGTAATCAGATTTCATATATATATTTTAAAAGTCTAACACAGGATGTGAGAGAAAAAGGGAGAATCAATGATGACTGTAGTGTTTTTGGCTTGAGCTACTAGAAGTTGAGAGTAGCTGTCAACCAGATGGAATAGATTACCAGAATATCTGATTTTAGAGAAGTAAAGAATTTGATTTTTACACGTTAGGTTTAAGATGCCTATTAAATATCCAAGTGGGAGATGTTGAGTAGGCAGTTGGGAGTCAGGGAAGATGTCTGGGCTGGAATTATAAATTCAGGAAGAGTCTACATATTGATAGTATTTAAAGCCATGAGACTAGATAAGCTCATCTAAGGAGCGAATTTAGTAGTTAGAGAAGAGAAGCCTGAAGAATGAGCTCTGGGGCACTCCAATATTGACAGGGCAGTAAGATGAGGAGGAGACTAAGAAATAGCCAGTGAAGTAGGAGGAGAACCAAGAGAATAATGCCCTAGAAGCCATGTGAAAAAGGCATTTCAAGAAAGAAGAGGTGATAAACTGGGCCAGTGCTGCTGATAGGTTGAGTAATAGGACCAATACTTGAATTGACTATTGGGATTAGCCACAGGGAGATCTTTTAAGAAATTTGCAAGCAATTTTAGAAGAACTGAGAAAGGCCAACAGGAGAGGAAGTGGAAACAGTAATTTAAGATAATTCTTTCAAGAAATTTTGCTGTAAAAGGGAGCAACAATGGGCGTGGTAGCTGGAGAGAAATGTGGGGTTGATGGAGTGTTGTTTCTTTAGATGGGAGATGCAACGTATTTCTATACTGACGAGAATGAGCCAGTAGAGAAGAAAAAATTGATGTTATAGGAGAAAGCATAATTACTGGATTGATCTTCTTGGGTGAAAGGTAATATAGTATAAATATGAAGGGTTTGCCTGCAAAGCACAGGTGTTCATCCAGGTAATAAGAGGGATGGCAGTGTATGGGTGCAGAAGGCAGGGAGATTGGTAGGTGTGGTGGGAACATGTGGGTAGCATCTTCTAGTAGCTTACTTGTCAGCCGAAAGTGTGGTCATATTAGAGGTATGAAAAGAGAAGGTGGGAAATAATTGTCTGGAAGAGTAGGAGAGTAAACGGACTAGGGGAATATAGGAGGAATGTGGGGTAGCACTAGGGAATACTAGAATTTATTTCTCATGAATTTAAAATGAGACCAGGCAGCATGATTGTGTTTTTTTCCAGCTGTGTTCTTCTGTACAGACTTTGGCATGGTGTAAAGAGAGGTTTGGATTTAACCAAGGTCAGAGCTTGTATATTAGAATGACGAGAAGAGAGCAGGGCAAGGGTGATCAAGGTGTTTGTAAGGGAGTGGTTATAGTGATGGGCCGTGAAGCCTAGGCTGGGTAAGAAGCTAAGAAGGGAAATTCTTAGAGGGGCAAGAGACAGTGGAAAGGAGAGAGGGTCAGAAGGATTATGGGTTCTGATAGAGTTGAATAATTGTTGGAGTCAGGATCCTGAGGGGAGTGAGTCAAAACATAGATGTTGATCAGAGATTGGATGATTGAAAGTGAGCTTAGAGCAGAGGGATATTTATTGGTAATGGCAAAGTCTAGGTTATTACCATGAGAATGCCATATCCTAGTGAATATCCCTGAAAAAATTTCAAAACCTCTCTGAGCCTCACTTTTCTCCTCTGTAAAATGAAGATAATGTTGGAAAGTTGTAGTGAGGATTAAATGATAAGTATAAAATACACAACATAGTGCATAACATGTGAATAGGTCATTAAAAGAATTTGCTTCCTTTCTTTTATAATTTTGTGTCTCATTTCCTGCCTTGAGAAGAATAGCAAAATGCCGTGTATGCTTGATGCTTTTCCTTACCCTCAAAATTGCTTCATGTGAAATCTGGTGAAATAAAATTCTAAAAAAATCACTGTACAAACACATTATTTTTACCCAGTCAGAAGTAAAAACACCACTACCACTAGAACTACCACTATTATGTTAACAAAAAGTATTGTTAGCTCTGCTGTTGAGTTGGCCCTGGACTCATGACAACCCCATGCTCAACAGAACAACATGCTGGCCGATCTTACACCGTCCCCGTGATTTGTTGCAGTAGGACCATTGTGATCCATAGGGTTTTCATCGGCTGATTTTCAGAAGTATATTGCCAGGCCTTTCTTCCTAGTCTTAGTCTGGAAGCTCCACCAAAATTTGTTCAACATCAAAGCAACATGCAAGCCTCCACTGATGGATGGTGGCTGTACATGAGGTGCGTTAGCTGGAATTGAACCCAGGTATCCCACATGGAAGGCAAGAATTCCAACACTTCCCCCAGACACCCTTTTAGCTCTGGTGAAGTTACCTCCGAGGTCCACTGTTCAGCCTGGGAGTGGACAGCCCCGTAAAACCAAATGAGACTAATGAGGTACA